TAAAGAATGGAACAACCTCAACACAATTCACTTAGTATGATAGAACAGTTACAAAATAAGAATAGCAACAATTCTATTAGTACTATTGAAGAAAAAGAAGAAATACAAGACAACCAAAAAGAAATACAAGACAACCAAAAAGAAATACAGGAAGAAAAAGAAGAAAAAACGAAAGGTGTAGAAAAATCAACGAAAGAAACGGAGCAAAACCAATTTGAATGTTTAATTTGTCTTGACACAGCACAAAATGCAGTTGTTACACAATGTGGACATATGTTTTGTTGGGAATGTTTACGAGAATGGCTTACTCGACAAGAGACATGCCCTATTTGTAAATCAAAAGTTACAGTTGATTCAGTTATTCCAATATACAATTCTACAACCACAAATGACCCACGTGGAGCACCTCGTCCTCAAGGACATTATACTCAACCACCACCTGCTCCTCAACCAAACCCATTTTTACCATTTTTTCCTGGTGGAGTTGGCGGGAATATCGCAACTTTTGCCATTGGATTTGGATTTCCTGGGATGTTGAATGTTAATGTTTTTGGAGGTAATGTGCCTCAAGAACAATTAACACCAGAACAAATACAACAAAGAAAATTCCAAAAATACCTTATTTTAGCATTTGCTCTACTTCCATTAGTAATTCGAATTATCGCATTCTTATTCTGTTAAGAAGAGTCAAAAATTAATGGCATGTTTTATATCGTCCAAATGGCAGTATTTTGTTACAACCAAGTTTTAATTCTGGTTTTATTTTTTTAAATGAAATATAACAGAACCAACCAAATCAATTTCATAGTTCGGTGCTTTCAATATTTGTATTGAGAGTTTTTGGCAAGGGTGTATTTAACAAAGTCAATTAGTTTAATTACTGTTAGTGAATTTTATATTGTTGTAGATTAATGTTTGGTGAGTGTTTTCTTTTATATGAACTGTGTATCTGATCATTTTTTATTTTCAAAAAGCCAAATCACTTCAATTAACATTATTTTTTGTTATAAATAAAGACTAGAGTATAAATAACCAACTTACCTTTTAATTTTATAGATTATTTGTTGATGAAAAATAATATAATAATACTTGATGTTTATTACTTTGGAATATATTGTAAATAATGCCTTATAATTAACATTCTATTTTACTAATTATGTAATATGCTATTCTAATATAAAAAATAGTGCTTTAGTTTTTATTCTCTTCAATAAATACACTGTGAAAAAGTATTGATTTTATTGTCTCTATGATAACCGTTTGTTATAATTTTTACCATATTTACTTTATTGTAACTTTTATAGATAAGTTTTTGATTTGTTCAATGACTAAGTGATTTTTCTCATAGAACTATTTCATAGAGTTTTTATTCTTCCAAAAACAAATCTCTAAAAATAAACAAATATTTGTGTTATTCGTAATAAAAATGAATCTAACAATAGAATTTAATGTATTAAAGAAAATGAAGAAATGAACGTGTGAATTATAGGATGATAATACGAGTCATTTATAAACAATATTTGTTGTGTTATTTTTATTCTCTCATATAATGGTAAATTATTTTTCTACACTTTAATTAATTTTACATAAAAATATTAATTTATATCTAACATTTGTTGATAAAATAATTATATAAAAAAATGTGTGGAAATATATTCCTAATAGATGATATAAACTTTTCACATATCAGAAAATACAATAAAATACTTAAATCAAGTTTGATTTAATAAAATTTTATGAACAGGAGATAATACAAATATTTATTCATTGAAGTTATAATTACACTTTGACTAATTTTCAGTTAGATAAGTTAATTCTATTTATTACATTCACAAATAATTATTAGCCATTGAGAACAATTTATTAAATAAGAAATATTGAAACAGCAATTAATACATGAAATGTATATTTTTATTTATATTCGTTAATTATAAGTTAACTTGGCATGTTATTAATAAATTATTCTTCATTTTAATGTTTTTTATAAAATGACATTAAAGCAGATATGGTTCATAATGAAAAAAAACACAGGTAATGTAATAATAATGTGTTATCTATAATAAATATCATTGGTATATAAAGTGATATAAATTTGATATATACAATAATATATCTTCAAAAAAGAAACAAAAGAACATATATAACAATGATAGTGGTAATGTAAAAATGAAAGTGTAATAATAACTATGTAAATAAGCAGAGTAAATATAAAATAATAAAAGAAAATACAAAAATAAAAGTTATATGTGTAGAAATTGTTCTAGTTGTGATAAGTATTTTATGGTTTATTCATAAACCATCAATTAAAATAGAAATTGATAATAGATATCATAACAATAATAAGGACGTTAAAAAATAATTAAATGAAATAAAATATATACTATCTTTATAAAGATAATAATTTTGATGACATAAACACTTAGTTAAATATCAAAACAATATTATGGTAACACAAAGAGTGATAAAGAAACTAGCACTAATTTTAATAAAATAATATCTTAAAATCATAAAAATGGATAATATTCAAGTAAGTGTCATTAGTTAAATTATTTTAATTGCTTTATAAAACATGTTTTACTTATTTAAAAAATCTAAAAAAAA